CCGCGCGGTGACCGCTGGCCCCGGCCCCTCCCCCGGGGGGCCGGGAGGGGCCGGACAGAGCCTCCCGGGTGCGCTGGAGAGGGAGCCCCGAGTGCCAACTCTACCCTGCGCCGGGTGACCTTGCACAGCGCCCGTGCCCTCTCTGGGCCTCCCGAGTGGACCGGACGGAATTCCCAGTGCAGGCAGAGGAGAAGCGTGCGTGTCCACCCTGCCTGGACCAAGCGATGTCCAGGCTCCCTGTGGGAGACTGTGGGGTCTGCTGGGAGGCCGAGGCAGGAGGATCTGGATGGAGGCCAGCCAGAGCTACATCGCCAGACCCTGTCTGTCTGTCTGTCTGTCTCTCTCCCCCACACACAACTCCGAAACAAAAATCAAGAAAGTGATAGGTTTAAGGAACTAGTTCAGGTACTAGTTAAGGGTCGTGGTTTAAGCAGGAGGTGGTTGTGGAACTTTGGTCAGCACCACTTCCCTGATATTTACTTATGGGAAACAACCACTCTGAGCCTCAGTTTCCTCATCTAGAAGGTGGAGATATTAGCTGAAGTCCGTTCTAGCAACAGCAGTGCGGTTGACACTTTGAGCGACATAGTTCTTTGCTGGGCATCGTATGTTTAGTGACGTCTCTGCCACTGTTTTCTAGTGATCACTGTCAAGTTGTGACAACCAGAAAGTTTCCTGCCATTGTTAAGGTCTGTTGGGACCAAAGTCACTCCAGTTAAGAGTCATTGAACTGAAACAATGTGGACCTGAAAGAAGTGAGACATTACACAGTTAAAACATAAAACTGCTACGATCACTACAAGATCTAGAAATATATTCTTTTTGTGTGTGTGCTCGTGTTTGTCAGTAGTGGGGCCTGAACTCTGGGCCTGAGCGTTGTCCCTCAGCTCTTCAGCTCAAGGCTAGTGCTCTACCACTTGAGCTACAGCACCACTTCCATTTTTTTTTTTTTTTTGGTGGTTTATTGGAGATAGGAGTCTCACAGACTTTCCTGCCCGAGCTGGCTTTGAACCATGATCTTCAGATCTCAGCCTCCTGAGCAGCTAGGATTAGCTGCTAACCATTGGCTAGAAATCCATTCTTGATCAGCTGAGAGGATTAATAGAGTTTCTTGCCTTAAATAAATATGAGACTATCAGAGCCACGCAAGGATTACAAGGAACTTCATATATATATACCCTGTCTACTTTGAGTATGATTCAAATTATCCACAATACAACAATAAAGCAGCAAGAAAAGGTTAAGCCAGAAAAACAAACAAAAAAGAAAGAAAGAGAAGCAGACTTAGGACAGCCAAATGGTTGTATCTCATCTGGAATTTCTTCTTCCTCCTCCCAATCCCCCAGTGAGATTTAAAAGCAAAATAAATCCCCAAATCTGGAGGAAATTAAAAAAAAAAAACTACAGGAAGTTTGCCGGGCAGAGCTACAGACTTTACACAAAACAACACTCACATCTGCCTCGCTTTAAATAGGTGTTTTCCCCTCCCTTAGTCACATCAGAGGATTCCAGAAAGGAAGTAAATCACCCAGTTACCCTTCTGTGGTCATTTTCGAGGCAAAGCGGGTTCAAGCCAGCGGCTCTGCAGCTTGAGGACAGAAGCAGCTGCTATTTTCAAGTTCAAAGATCTTTAGACAGATGTGCTGAGTCGTAGCCCAACCAGAAACAGGAATGCGTATGTAGACACTTGTAACTGGACTGAACTGAATGTTCTTTTACAACTGTGAGGGAAGGAAAAAAAACAAAACAAAAACAACTTGTCCCCTTTCCTTTCTTTTCCAGCCCCTAGGTATAGGAGAGAATGTTGTGTACTGTTTCTCAGCCTTGTCCAGAATGATCTTGACTGTTGGAGCTGGCTTCTTGGGGCTTTTTAGTTATGCTAAAATGAAAGTTGTTTTTGAAGAAAAGGAGGAGGAGGGGAGTAACTTTTTACTTTTATGGATCTCGCCTCCACACACACATCCTGGGGACTTGTGGGGGTCCTATTGAGCACTCGGGTCAGGCGTGTAGTATAAAAACTTGGCTGTCTGCCTGTGGGTCCTGTGCCTAAAACTTTCGCCTTCTGTAACGGGAATGGAGAATCAAAGGTGCCAGTCCTTGGGCTTGAACTCAGGGCCTGGGTGCTATCCCTGAGCTTTTGTGCACAAGGCTAGCATTCTACTAGTTGAGCCATAGCTCTGCTTGGGCTTTTTTTTTTTTGGCTAGTTAATTGGAGATAAGAGTCTCACAGACTTTCCTACCTGGACTTTGAACTGTGATCCTCAGATCTTAGCCTTATGAGTAGCTAAAATTTTAGGTGTGAGCCCCTGATAACTGATTTAACTACTCTTAATGATTGTATTTTTGTTTGTTTTTTTGGGTCCGGTCATGGGGCCTGAACTCTGGGCATGGGCGCTGTCCCCCAGCTCTACCACTTGAGCCACAGCGCCACTTCCAGCTTTTTTCTTTTTGCTTATGTGGTGCTGAGGAATCCAACCCAGGGCCTCTGGCATGCAAGGCATGCGCTCTACCACTGAGCCACCTTCCCAGCCCCAATGATTGTATTTTTGTTGTTGTTGTTTTTGCCAGTCCTGGGGCTTGAACTCAGGGTCTGGGCACTGCCCTTGAGCTTCTTTTGCTCTAGGCTAGAACTCTATCACTTGAGCCACAGCACCACTTCTGGCTTTTTCTGTGTATGTGGTACTGAGGAATTGAACCTAGGGCCTCATGCATGCTGGGCAAGCACACTACCACTAAGCCATATTCCCAGCTTGGTTGTATTTTTTTTTCTTTAAAATTTATACAGGATTCATACACAGATCAGTGTAATGAAGGTAGAGGAAGAATGTTAGTCTTCATCTCATTTTTCAGACATAGTTACCCTTTTCAGGATTTTTTGTTGCTTTGTGTTTCCTTTGTATGTGAAAGAGAGAGAGATAATGTGCACTGGGACTCGAACTCAGGGCCTTATACTCTTGCCTAATGTATTCTGCTTAAGGCTGGTCTCTACCACTGGAGCCACAGCCCTACTTGCATTTTTCTTACTGGTTGATTAGAAATAGAAGCTCTCAGATTTATCTTCCCTGGCTGGCTGAGGTCTGAAATCCGTAGATCTCAGCCTCTTGAGCAGCCAGGATTTCAGGGCGAGCCACTGATGTTTGGCTTACCCTCCTCTCTATCTTTTTTTAAAAAATGTCTTTTTGAATAAACTTATTTTTGAGACAGGGACTTATTGCGTAGCTCAGATTAGCCTCTAACTCCCAATTTACAGGCATGCACCGCTCCTCTCAGTATTGTCCGTATTTTAACACTCATCGACGGCCATAACCCTTTGAAATTTAGACGTGATTCACGGTAAGCCACACTGTCTAGAAGAGCATACATCATTCAGTGCTTGTGCCGCCATCACCGCTACCTAATTCCAGAACATCGTCATCAGTCATGGTCATAATTTAATAATAATCCTTCCTTTTCTTTCTTTCTTCTTTTTTTAAATCCCCCAACCCTAGAAGATGCTACTGATGGAGGCGATTCTGAAAAGCACCTCTGGGCCAGTGGCTTTGCGAGGACGCTCATACCAGCGACTGTTTGGAGCCCTGGACGACGCCTCCTGAGGAGCGCGGGCTCAGAGGACATGGCCGCGAGTCTGGATGATGACGTGCCCCTCATCCTGACCTTGGATGAGGGGGGCGGTGCCCCACTGGCTCCCTCCAATGGCCTGGGCCCAGAGGAAGTACCAAGCACAAGTAAGTGGGTGTGTGGCTCAGGGAGTGGCTGGTGAGTTGGGGCTTTGGTCTGCTAGGAGAAGCCAGGACTCTGACATCCAACCCTGAACTGTAACTCAGGACCTGTTGCTAGGAGACCATGGGCTTCTAGTGCCATACCCCAGCCTTGTAATATGTCTGGGGTCTGTCCTACCCTCCTGCAGCCCTGCTGCCTCTCGTTACCCAAAGCACCTGGATGCTTGGTGGAGGGACTCTGGCAAACCTGTTTCTTGGCTGGCTTCCTTGTCATATTCCTCTTTAAAAAAAGAATCAGACTTCACCCCCCCCCTCCGCCCCCCTTCTTCCCCTCCCTGTGTGAAGCTGCTGGCGGGGAAGCAGCACCCTGCCCGGCCAGTTCAGGGCAGGGGTGAGCACTTCTCTTGTCCATTGATTTGAGGGTTTGAGGCTTTGCTTTGTCTTCCTGGGAACTGAGGCTGAGCACAAAGCCAACCTGCGAGAGATGGCGAGCTGCAAATGTTTTCCATTTTAAGTGTGTTTCTGGCAGAAGGCATGGTCTTAAAAACCTTCCTGGGCCTCGTCCCGAAGCCATTTGCTCAGGCTGTGGGCTCTGGAGAGGCTTAAAATAACTAGCCCGTTCTGAGGGTCCTGAGACTGTCTACCCAGACGCCTTGGCCATCGCCCAGGTATGCTGCCTGGAGCTGCCCATCTGCTCCCAAGGGCAGATATAGGGGGCAGGGAGGAGCCTGCCTCCACTGTCTCCAGTGTTCTCCTTCATCTTGGGGGTGAGCCCGTGGGGGGCCTGGCTGGCTGTAGGCAGGGACTCTCTTTGCTTAGGGCAGCAGAACTGGGTGGGATCCAGGCTGATCAGAACATAAGCTGGACTTTTTCCTAAGCCCCACTCAGTACTGACAAAGCAGAGGCTCTGACTTCCTGATATTCCTTATTTCCTTCCTAAGATGTCCTTAGCAAGGGGGGCAATATTGTTCTATTTTAGAGGGAGAAACTATGGGTCAGAGAGGTTAAGTAACTTTCTCAAGGCCACACAGCCAGCAAGTGATTGAGCACAGATTGGAAGTCAGGCCTGCCTGGCTTCCAGATTTCTTCCCCTCTTCCTCCTTCCTCCACCTTCGCCCCCCCCCCCCCCCCCCCCCGTCTTACTCCCTTTTTCCTCTTCTGGTTTTCTTCACAAGCTCTTAATAAACATGGGTGTAAGTTCTTAGCACTTGTTATTTTTTTTATTTGTATCTTTTTTTTTTTGCAGTCCATTTGTATAGTGCACTTTATAATCTCAAAATAGTGATGGCTATTATCTGTGGTTTACAGAGGAAGAGAGCGCCGCAGTGGCTAGAGATTGTGTGGCTGACCCAGGGTCATGCCACTGGTAAGGCCTCTGCTCGTCCCTCCCATATCACCATGCACAGGGAGAGGGAAGGGGGGTACAGCAGGGTACAGCACTCAGCTCAGAGGAGGGGCCTTCATGAGGCGGGATGGGAGGTGGCTGCTGGCTTATTGCTTAAGAACAAAGACGGGCCTCCTTCAGCACCAAGGAGCGGGGCTTTCTGCCCAGTGCCTCAGTTTCCTCGATCAGGCTCCTGCGGAGTCATTTTGCTAAAAGCCCTGAGAACCAGTGGGTTCTTGCTAATCTGCCTACGCCTGGCTGGGAAGCACCGCAGGTGTTCTAATGTTGTTCTAATGGCTTTGGCGCTGACCTTCTGCCTGCTGTCTGGGCAGATACTCTGAGACAAATTCATGCCCGGCCAAGGTGGTCACCCCTGGAATTCCAGCCCTCGGGAGGCAGAGGTAGGAGGATCTCCAGCTTCAGGCCTTTGTGTTCCACATGGCAAGACCCTGTTTTGAAAAAAAAAAAAAACAAAAAACAAAGAGCAAATCACCACCACCACCACCACCAATCCAGCCTGGTCATTCCCCTGGCTCTTGCCAGCCATTGTCCCTCACCATCTTGTCTGACCGATCCTGCTTCCTCCCTAGCCAGCCTACTGCCCCAGCTCTCCCTTCAGCTAACCCCTGGGCATTCTGCCCCACTCTGCCTTGCTGGGAAGTCAGTTCCTGTTTGCTCACCTCCTCTTCTGTCTACAATCCTGCTGATGGCGCCGTCTCTTTTGAACTTCCCAGAAGCTTCCCATGTAGTAATTACCTGTTTTACCGTCTGACCTCCTGTTGGGCCTCCAGGCTCATTCATCTTTGTGTCTTACAGCTTAGTGCTTGCAGTATCTTGCTGCTACTCAGCAGGGTTGAAATAAACCCAGCTGTGTTCCTGGGGCCTAGATTCTGAAGGTATCTGATGGTGTCCCCTTCTCCCTCTGCTCCCAAGCCTGTGCTTTGAATTCCATCTCAGCCGGGCGCTGGTGGCTCACGCCTGTAATCCTAGCTACTCAGGAGGCTGAGACCTTAGGATCACAGTTCAAAGCTGTCCAGGGAAGGAGAGTCTGTGAGACTCTTATCTCCAGTTAACCACCAAAAAGCCTGATGTAGAGCTGTGGCTTGATTGGTAGAGCACCAGCATTGAGGGAAAAGGCTAAGGGACAGTGCCCAAGCCCTGAATTCAAGCCCCCCCCCAATGCTGGCACAAGAAGGAATCCCATCTCTGGATACAGATCATTGTCCTGGGAACCACTACCCTTGACCCCAGCCTATGGCTTCTGCGTGTCCTCAGGGCACTAAGGGGTTAGCAGAATGTGGACAGAGGTGGTCAGTGAGTTGGTGGTGACATGGCCTTGTGCCACTGAGTGTGGTGGCCCCTGGGGGGGGGAGCGAGTCCTGATGGCCCCTGGGTCTCTGGGGATACAGTGCTGCCAGGCCTGCCCCACTTCTCTACCAGCATGCCCCGTCTCAGTCCCCTCAGCCTGCCATAACCAAGTGCCATGGGCCAGGCGCTCTGGGGCTGTGGCCGCAGAGGGTGACATCCCTGTTCCGGATATTGCGAGGTCAGCGGCGGGCATTCTCCTTGGCTTGCAGACGGCCACCTTCTGGTTGTGTCCTTAGTTTGGTCTGACACCAGTTCTCATGGGATAGGCCCTACCCATTGGGCCTTTCACTCTGACCACCCCTTTAAAGACCCTGTCTCTAGTACATTCTGAGGGGCTGGGGTGAGGACATAGAAATGTTGAGGGTACACATTTCACCCCCAAATGTGCCTCATGCTCCCTCAGACGCACATCTCTAGGAACGCGGCTGTGCCACCTCTGCCCGCAGCCCCAAGCCACGGCCTTGTCCCTCTAGGAAACTGGAAGGTTTGGATTCTTCTCTGTTCATGAGTAAGGATGGATTTTATCCAAAACTCCAGTATCTCTGGCTGTAAGAATGGCTGCCAGAATGCCAATGAGTGAGTCACGCACAGGGTGTCAGGTTGATGAAGGGGGCAGGTGGGAGCAGAGGTGTTTAAGACCTGGAAAATCGATGGTGGGCTGGCATTGGATGGGACAAGGTAGCGACACCCCTGCCTCTTCAGGACACGCCAGGCAGGGGTCCAGATCACATTGGAACACCAGGGGCCCCCACAAGGGTTTTCTGGGGTAATCCAGTCACTCGGTGCATCTTCTAGACCAGGAAAAGATTGGGGACACTGGAGGAGGCTGAGCTTGGAGCAGGTCCCTGGGAGCTCCAAGTGGCAATCTGCATAGGGCCAGGCCTCACCAGGCCTGGTGAGTTGTGTTGTCTGCACTGCAGACGGCCAGTGTCCCTGGCTCCTTTATCAGTCTTTATGTAGCATGGTAGGCTGGTACCAGGCTCCTTCACGGTGGCCAGGAAGAGCTGGCAAGGATCAGCCAGGCTGTTAGCCAAGGACTCCCCATTGCAGAAGTTTGACTTGCGTTTAACCAGGCACCCCTGGGCTCATATCAGAGTGGAGGCCTCCTGAAGGACTTGAGTAGCTCTTGTTGCTTGTTCTGCCCTGGGTGCCAGAGCAGCTGAACATGGGGGCTCTGGAGTTGGGTCTGAAGACGAGGGCAGACCTCGGCTTCTCCAGGCCTCAGCCTCGGACCCTTCCCAGCAGGATGATAATCAGATCAAGATAGGGCTCCAAGTCAGATCGCTGCCGGGACTTATTAAGATCTCAAGCGATTCCTTGGTTACCAACACCATTATGATGGCCAGAGACTGGTTTCCTGTGTTGGAATGTTTGTGGTGAGCAGGCATCCTGCATCCCTCACTGCCTCTGTCCCCAGCTCCATGGGGGCCACCATGCATGGCAGCTAGAGACCGGCAGCAATCAGATTGCCATAGCCTCCCATGGAGCCCAAACACTTGGCCCTGTTAGACTCATTTCCCTGGCTTTCTAAGGGCCTCCACCAGCCATGGGTGATGCCAGTTTAAAAAAGCAGAAGCAGCCAGCTTGCCTGGTGGTGGAAGTTTTGTAATGGAGCCTTTCTCTGCCTCCTCCCAGAAGGCAGGGGAGAGGGGGGATCCTGTCTATTGTCCTCCCCTCCCCCGTGGAATGCCATCTCTCCCTCAGCACACAGAAGCTGTAGTGTCTCAGTGGCAGTGTTGGCAGCTGGGTGCAGCTGTGTCTGCTGCCTAACTCTGATCACCTGAGACAGGATATTGACTTCCCAGCCTCCACTCGGGGGGAGGGCACCCTGAGGCCTGGGCTGCCCCCCAGCTGTGCAGAGCCCAGTGGTTCCAGGAGGAAACCTAGGCTCAGCATAGGGACCAACCCAGGAAGCACAGGGGCTCTACTCTACCGGAGCTCCAGGGTACCTCTCGCTTGTGACCCTTGCTTGAACAAATCCCTGGTTTGGCATTTCCCTTTCCTCCCTGGTGAGGCGGGTCCAGGGAAGAAGGCACGTGGTGTCCACATGACCCAGAGCTGTTGGGCTCCTGCTTAGTGTATCGCTCTCATTTGGTTCCCTGCAGATATCTAAGGTTGCTGCCTTCAGGATCCTCTTACAGGGGATGAATGAGGCTCCCAGAGGTCAGAACCTAGCCAAGGTCCCGAGGCCACTTTGTCAGCACTTGAACCCAGATCTTGAACAGGGTGGTTGCCTGTTGTAGGTGGAGCAAGG